AAGGCTTTATCACACCATATTCACCGAGAAAGGGCGGGCCATTAACGCTATTATCATATAGCCTATCAAAACTTACACAGTAAAGAGTGACACATTCCTGTATAACACATACAAACTTAAATAGAACATTTGTTCCATCTGGAGTCACCTGAGGTCACGGTCAAAGGCAGGGAACAGGTGTTCTTATGGGAGTCACCCGAGGTCATTGGAACACAACTCAAGTTATTTTTGGATTTTTTAGAACGGCGCGGTGTTCTATATGGGTCACCTGAAGTCATATGCGGGTGATTATTGGGTTGTTTAATGTATGGATTGGGATGAATAAAGACCCGGTTTTGACTCTATTTGTGACATAACGGCGTCATAAGGAATGTGAAATGGAGCATTCTGATTGGTCAACGTCACCCGGCTATATGATAATTCAATAATTCCATGTCTTGATTAGATCATAGACCCCCAAATTTTTTTGCCCTGCAGTGGCATAGTTACTTCTGCATTCGTTGCGTTTCGCTGCGGTGTGATGCGTTGCACGAGAAATACCCCCACATCGTACCTATACAGGGTACTGTATGTGCAGAACAGCAATTGTTGTGCTCCACATGACAATGGTTTGTTTTTATTTTGCCACCCTATGAAAGACCAAATTATTCAAAATTTGATACGGACAGCTTTCCGAGACTTTCGTAGGAGATATGGGAAAGGGTAATTTGGAGGCGTCAGTTTTACATGCCATTGGGCTGTTTTGGATGAGTCCATTTTGGACTTCGGGTCAAATTGGGAAATTCCATTTTGGAATGAGCTCGTTTTTGACAGATGTTATTTAGGAATTGCCCATTTTAGCACAAGTGTGATTTTGCATGAGGGAGGGATAGGAAGTAAAATATGCTGTATTTGCTTACAAATGTTGCCTTTCTAGTTATGATTATTTTCATTATTTGCTAGCAAAAGCAACATTTAGAGCACTAGCCACTGCACTAAGATTCTAACAGAATGCATTAATTTTCCTAACAAACGATGGAAAACAACATCTAAGTTCAGGTTTCTGTTTGATGAAAATGATCCCTTTCTTCAGGAGCCTTGACACTGATGCACCCTTCTGTGGTGACAACACCTGTGATCCAGGTGAGACTGACACCACCTGTCCGTACGACTGCTGCCCGGTGATCAACTCTGACATCTGTACGAGGAATAACGGCACGTGTCCCCCTGTGTGCTGCTCCAAGCCCGGTTGTTGTAAGACCTCCGGAAGCCCCACTGTAAAGGGTGACAGGGTGGTGGTCCTTGAAGCTATCAGTGTGGTGGCTTTTGCATTCACTGGCTTCAGCTGGCTTTTCAACTTTTGAAGAACAGATACCAAGCATCAGACCTTGCACAGAAATCAGTAAGGTTGTTTCTTAGTGCATTAAAGGCATGAGTGTTGCTCACAGATTGACTTTTCCACTTTAAATTTCTACATAAGGCCATGTTGATTTGATTTTATGGATGACATCCTCCGGGAGCCCCAAAACTGATGCGCGCGTGCGAATAAAAAAAAGTTTTGCAAAAAAAAAGTTGTTTTCATTATGAAATCTACGTGGTCATGAGGGTTGAACAAATGGGACAGAATATGGTTTGGCGAATAATCTAATCTTCAAGTTCATTTCCTTACAATTTCATCTTTTTCGTTTGATTTTGGCATTCTACGACATTGGTATAGTTTTTACTTATTTTTTTTGTAACTTACGGTATATTTTTGCTCATTTTGCAACTGTTTTGTACGATTTACAGTATGGTTGAAAACTTTTTTTTTTTTGGAAACGGCCGAAAATTCATGCGCGCGCGGATGTCATCCATATAATCAAATCAACATGGCCTAAATATATAATCCAGGCAACATACATGTACTTGTATTTTCCTCTTCTCAAAAACATGTTGTTCTGACAGGTTACATCTCAGACCATAATTGCTGTAATACTTGGCAAAATGATGGTAATACCCACATGTCACTACCAAATGGCAACCCAAACAAGGGAGGACAAGTGAGTTCCACGACTGATGATACAAATCCAATATATAGACTAACAGATAACATTGCACTACAATACTGTAGACAATAGTGTATATGAAGGAATTACCTTCTTTTGTTATGAAATAAGATGGATTTTTCCCGCTATGTTTGCATATTAATCTCCAAGCAGCTGCAGGGTCTGGCTCAGTGTTTCGGGTGGCTACAGAGGAAGACAACAGGAGAAAACAGAGACTGTAAAAAAGAAAGTATAGAAAGCCTTTTAGATAGAATACTCTGAAATATTGAGCCAGAGCCTGCAGGGAGAATGGTCAGGACAGTAGAGACCACAATGTAGAATCATAATACTCAAATAGATCAGACTTATGTATTTTTCACACTTCTGCGTTAAATAAAGCTTCTTCAAGCTGCACATGTGTTTTCTCTAATACTAATAATAATAGGAAATGATAACAGTAAGCATGCAGTAAAAATGACCATAAAGTAGCTCGCTATACAGATATAGGGAAGCTCTCAGGCCCTCATAAGACTCTGAATGTTGATAAATTATTGAGTTAACATGCAGCAAGTTAGTACTAGTGGTGTAAGGATCGCTTAACGTTCTGTATTTATAATTCATTTATCTGATAATTTATTCATTTCATCTTAGGACAGGCTGGATGGCCCATTCAGTCTGCAATAAATACTCCAAGGGGGCCCAACATGTTACAAGACAAGACATTTAACATAGTAAAAAAAAGGAGGGCAACATACATAAAAACATAAGAGTCCAATGAGTCATAGTCCTATACTCAAGCACATAGCCGTTCCATAGTCAAAACACAAAACGTAAGTGTGCAGGGAGATGTGCTGAGTTAAATCTCACGTCAACTTATAGACAGCCATTGGCTGTAGAGATAACGAACGGAAATACCGATCGTATAGATACGGTGTCAGTAAAAAAATGGGCGGGCCAATAACAGCAAACTGGCACTCAGCAAACTAGGGAAGACCTGGTACTTCCCTTCCAGCTTAACGCTGTAGTAGTAGTAGTAGTAGTGGTAGTAGTAGTAGTAGTAGTAGTAGTAGAATGGTTTATTTCACTAAGAAACGCAAACATACACAATACGCTTTGACAACTCTGTGGAGATAATGATCGAACTATTCGTCGAACATATAATAAGGAGTACGGAAAATAGTGCATGTTCGGACTTGTTCGGGTACGACCCGGAATCGAACCCGGGTCTCCCCGTTTCATAGTCCATCTATGTACCACTACACCACACGACGCCACTTTTAAAGGCACCAAATAGAACCACACCTGGACACGCCACGACTACAGCTGAAATAATCTCCCAGGGCATTTAAAAAAACCGGTCGAACACCAGCCGACAATGGCCCAACCTCCTGCTTAATTGGTAATTTTGTGCGCTTTCTAAACCACTCCCACATACCGGGTAGGGCATGCATTTCTGCATACCACACAGTCCTGCATAGAACACCGGCCACCAGGGAACGTTTTGAAACATCAAGAAGCTTCTTGGAAACATTCAGCTGGCGCAGCCAAATAGTAGCGACCTCACTGAACACCAGTCGACCACAGCCGATCTTAACCTCGGCCACTACCTACTCCTATTTGGTTGAGCGTCCGGCCAGTGTTCGGGAGGCCATATCCAATACTTGTGACTCGCTACATGCCGCTTTAACCCTACAGCAGGGGTTAGTGCAGTTTTCGTTTGACGTCCAGAGCCGAATAAGAACAACGACAGCAAACTTGGACATGGCGACAGCAACTTGTAACGCCCCAGACTCAGGAGGATCCAGTTTTGCAAAGACTTACCTGAAATCCGGAGCCGGTGTACTGTACGCTCTGCTGAACACAGCAGCCGTCGCCTTTGCGGCACAGTTCATGGCCTGGAGTAGCCAGGCAGGCATACCTGGGCTACAGCTGATCTTCCTCATCAAACTTGTACAGCTACTTGTTGTCCTCGTCGCCCTGCCCTTCTTTAGACCAAAGCTGACGACTGAAAACGGACGTCAAACTCTACTCTTGGTACTGTCGACAATTATTGAAAACCTTGGATCCGCCTTCTTGTACCTGTCATTTGCCTTTGTTGTCTCTGGGATCGCCTTTGGCATCATACGAGGATCGGTGCCCTTCGTCTCGGCCTGTATTGGATTCTTGTTCCTGAAGGAAACTGTGGGCGCCGTGGATTGTTTCGGAATCGTCTTCACTGTAGCCGGGGTGATAGTTGTCGCAGTCGGAATGATCACGGAGAACACTTCGTCCACGCGGCGTCTGACTACGTCCATTCTTCTTCCGCTCGCGACGACCTTTAGTAAAAGTTCAGGCATCGTCATCGCACGTTCGCTCATCGGTGTACAGAAGTTCTCCGTTCTAACCGTGCTCTTCTACGCCAACCTGGCAGGAGCGGTCGTGCTACTTGTGGTAACGTACACGACAGAGACCCCGCCAGTTTGGTCGATGTCCACACAGACTGTGGGTTATGTTATCGGATTGTGCCTGTGTGCCTGCTGCGGACAACTTGCAACAAGACTCGCACTGAAGACGGAAAAAGCGGGAATTACTGCGACCATCAAGACTTTTACCATACCCCTTGCGATGTTCTTGGACTACATCTTTCTCTCGGAGTTTCCAAGTCCGGTCAAGTTTGGCGGTGTTGTACTTATAGTGTTCGGTACCGGTGTAGTGGCGGTGTATACATGGTGGAGGCATCGCAAAGAGACTCTTCACAAAAATCTCATGGAGAGATTAAACTTTGGTAACTAAATCTGTGTAGTTTGCGGTGCAACTAAATCTCTAATAGTGCGCAATCAGTCTGATGTGTTCCTGTATCCAAACGTACATTGCGCCTATTGTCTTCATGGGGACTCCATGAAAATGTATTTGCTAACGCCGGGACACTATCGATGTGTTAAGCATGACGCCTTAACGAAAATAAGACTTGTTTGTTTGTTTGTTTGTTTATTCGCACATGTTAGAAAATAAATAGAAAGTTACGGAAAAGAAGAAACAATGTGTAGGAGGGGGTAGGAAGCCTTCAGGGCTTGTACAAGGCCCTCCTCCTTACTAACTTTATTAACAAATGATAGTCATGAAAGTAATATGATGATTGAAAATGAATTAACGGAAAATAAAGATATAACTAAGAAAACTAATACAAATAAATGATACTAATATAGTAATTGAAAATGAATCAATGGAAACATAAATGTTGATAGAAACATTGTCTTTTTTAGATATTTTTCTATCAAACTGTAGGGTGAATGTGGGAAATACTACACGTAGCAATATTCTAAAGTATAAGGCATTTGTTCTGGTTCTGTAGTTGTTTGATTGACTTAAACTCCCCGACACTGATAATGACGTTTAGTGTTTCAGTGTGCAATAAAAAGAACGGCTTGGCTCTTCTCAGGACTGTTTCACTGATTTTTTTTCTAAAGTCATCTATCTATGATATAGAGTACTTGGTTATAGACCCGCTGGCCAAACTGTTTACAACAATCCTGAACACCCGCCTCACCAACTTCTTAGACGAGCATGCACTTATCTCTCCGAACCAAGCAGGCTTTAGGAAAACTTTGGGACTAATGATAATCTCTTCGTTATCGATTCTCTAATTTATAAGTATACTAATAATAACAAACGTCTTTATGCATGTTTCGTCGACTTTAAAAAAGCCTTCGATTGTGTATGGCGCGAAGGTCTGCGATACAAACTACTCACCTCGGGAGTAGGCGGCAAATTTTACAGTCTTATAAAATCAATGTATTCTAACCAGCAAACATGCATCAAAACCTCCTCTGGTCTAACACCACCCTTCGTTACGGACAAAGGAGTGAGGCAGGGCTGTAACCTCAGCCCGACCCTATTTAACCTGTTCATAAATGATTTAGTCAAGATGTTAGATAGTCCAGAATGCGTTCCACCCTCCCTACATAATTTATTCATTTCCTGCTTGCTCTATGCAGATGATGTCGTAATTTTCTCGGAAACCAGGAAAGGACTCCAATGTGCTCTTGACAAACTAAACACTTTCTGTACAAAATGGAAACTCCAAGTTAACCTGAAAAAGACCAAAATTGTAATTTTTAACAAAACAGGGCGCATATACAGAAATACAAAATTCCTGCTCGGTTCAGAAAATATAGAAATTACTACGTCATACTGCTATCTAGGTCTGTTGTTGTCCTCATCTGGCAGTTTCTCACTAGCTAAGAAACAACTTGCTTTAAAAGCTCGCAAAGCTGTTTTTAGCATCAAATCTCTTATCCGCTCTCAAATCTCATTAAAAGCTTTACTAAGGATTTTCGACGTTTGCATCAAATCTATAATGTTATATGGTTGTGAAATCTGGGGAAAAGATTTTTCAAATGACAACTGTCCTATTGAAACTGTCCATAATCGCTTCTGTAAAAACATTCTTGGGGTACACAGAAACGCTAGCAACGGAGCATGCAAAGCAGAGCTCGTAGACTGTCACTAGACACAGACGTATCTGTACGCCTAGTCAAGTATTGGTTAAGACTGAGGCAACTAGACGCTAATACACATCCCCTACAAGTCGACGCTTTACTATCTCAAAAACATATGTTAATGCTTGGTCACAAAAAAATGTGCTACACCATGTTAAAGAAATACTTGACCGCAGTGGTTTCTCATATATCTGGCATAACGACAACGCCGATCTCGATAAGCAACACATATGTACATTACTTAGAAGTAGACTCTCTGACATGTATATCCAAACCTTTCTTTACAATCTCTCTGTTGATGTCGGTAAGCTAAGACTTTATAGACATCTGAAACCTGTATACACAATGGAACGTTATCTTCACATCAAAGACTTCGATGTTAGATCAGCCATATGTAAGCTTAGAGTTAGCGCTCATACATTAGAAATAGAAAAGGGTAGATACAAACAATTACCTGTTAACGACAGAATATGTAAATATTGTACAGGAAACGCAGTGGAGGATGAAATGCACTTTATTTGTCATTGCTCTCATTATAGCACCGAAAGAGATCAGTTATTTGAAATGGTCACCAAAATGTTCCCCAGCTTTATTCACCTTCCCAGCCTACAAAAAACTGCATTTCTATTAACACCTCCCAATTTATATATCTCGCAAAACGTCGGCCATTTCATACTCCACTGCACACGGAAAAGAAATCAAACCCAACAATAACTACAAATGTATATATAAAGTAGCATTAGCATCACTTATTATCATTCTACTGTTTACTGTTGTTATCATGTTCTTGCAATTAGCCCTCGGGCATGAATTTGCAATAAACTTTCATTATTACAATATTACTGTGTTATTGGTTCGTACATAGTCATTACTTTAATGCTAAGTGACAGCAGTAAAGTTTTACCGCCACACCAGAAGCTTTGCGCACGTGTTTTCCAAAGAGTTGGAGCTACACTGGACACAGAGATGTGCCCTGCTGCTCCTCATGATCCTCCAGCCGCTCTTCTCACAAGAAAGACACCAGTCTTTCCCCGCAGTGTCAGGTGGGTCTTGGAGGGCACAAAAATGTACCTGTCGTGAAGGGAAAACAAAGCCTTATAGTCTGGTCATAGGTTTTGACATCTTCTAGAGGTGATATACCGTCACAGTTACCTGTTATGTCAACCTGAACAGTATTTACTGCAGAACTGTAAGATACCACAGCAATGCAATACATGGTACGATTGCTGAACCTGTAAAATAATTAGTCTCTTTCATTTCAATCTACTTAAGAATGTTTTTATGCTTCGTCAATTTTATCCTATTCGTAAATGTTTTTAAATATGGTTGAGATAATGGTTGAGATATTGTTTTAACGAAACTCATGGAAACAGCTCCCATGCAATTCAGCCTCTGGCTTCCAGGTGGGACTGTCAGTACGTATTGTATATATGTTAATATTTGAATAAACCATTATTATTATTATTATTATTATTATAACCCTTCAACAAATGTCCGGTCTAGGCAGTACAAAATCTGTAACACAGCACCTCTCTCCCAAAAAGTTGAGAAACTCAGGTGGTCTTTGTTTGAGCATATTCTCAGAATGCCACAAGGCACACCTAAACAAAAAGCCCTGGAATTTTCATTCCTAGGCCAAAATTGATACAAAGCTCGCAAAGGGAGACACTGCGTCAATCTGCTCAGCATGCTGAAGGGAGACGTGAAAAGCACATGGACAGGTCCTCCCACAATAAAACGTGACCTGTCACGCTGTAAATCACGAATGATTGACAGGAGTGGTGATTAATTATCCATACTGAAGGCACGTTATGGAATATTGCGAAACATGTTTCAGAGAAAGACACAAAATGGAATATTCCAAAACGTGACATGTGAGCTTGGGAAAGAGCTTGGGAAAGAGCTTCGACAACAGCAGTTTGTGTTGAGTTGCTGCTGCTTTGTTAAAACATTGCGAACTTTAAGATTATTGTTAGACTTTTAGATGAACATCTTTAGTCCATTTGCGTTGCATTTTGAGGCTGTTTCTTGAAAAATAAAATGCAATTTTCAAAATTCAAGATGTCCGATCCAAGATGGCCGACAGCTTAATTATACATGACGTTATTAATGACATTTTGACGTCAGTGTTATCAGGGGCAACATAAGTATTAGAAGACATAAATATTCTATCATAAATTAGACACATTTTGTTGAAGTTTTTTTACGGAAAATCAATTTTTTAACGGTTTTACCCGAAGAAAATCATACAAATGATGTCCTAACGACGTCATATGAGCTCATAATTGCACAAAAGTTGTTTTTATGAATTTTAATTCATAAAAACAAATTTAATTCATAACAACTAATTTTCAGAGAATGATGTTGTAATGAAATTGAAATATTATTACTACATCATTTTCTGAAAATTTGGTGGCCCTACGATAAATGGTTGCTGAGTAACAGCCTCAGACTGTCTAAGTATGCCCCCCCCCCCCCAAAAAAAAAAGCCTGGTCTGAACAGGGTTAAATCCCATTTGAACCTGATTAATTGCCACGCAGTTTTAAGAAATTCCTTCAAAAGCTAAAACAGCCACAAATGCACTGTACTAATCGTTTTGTTTCACCAAAACATACAGTTCAACAACCTTAATATTTCCTACTTACTAGTCATTTGCTACATCATAATATTAGTCTGCTCTTCAGGAAGCATGGTTCTGCGCAGCTCTTGTACAATAACAAACCCTAATACGGCAATCGCTGTATACATAAACAACATCATGAAGCTATTAGTCTGGTAAATAAATAAGTGCGTACAGACGCCGCCACAGCGAGCGGTGTAAACCTTGTTACGTACCAAATATCATTGTTAAAACGGAGGAAAGAAGTGCTTAGCTGACTGACAGCTCGACTATCAGATGATACAGATCTCCTGACCAAGTACACGTCAGGTAAGTGACAAATAGTTTCTCGGGTGAAAGGTCTGGATGCGATCGAACAGGATGCATGGAAGTGGCGGTGTGAGGGGGGATGCAGGCATGTTGTTCTTGTTCCTCTTCATGTGTACCTGTGCAGCTTCAAATGGCCTGAGCTTTCCTCAGTGTAAGGTAGCTGGTTGGCAAGTGTGTGTGCCTTGGGGCAAGATGGGGCAGAGGACAACGTCTGGCACTTGTGTCATGTGTGAGGTCCCAAAAGAGAGTGTTGCTTATGCAAGCCCATTCCCGTTCATTGCTGGGGCCCAGCATGTTGCAATAAGAGGGCACCCATTCCACGTCCTGTCGCAAAAGAGCCTGGCCCCGCTTGAGCATTCTGTGGTCCTCATTTTGGCCTTGATAGATGGAAAGATCACTGATGTGGAGAACAACACCTTCTCCGGGCTACCCAGTCTCGAATCACTGTCCCTAGATTCTAACAGGTTGACAAAAGTCAAGGAGACATGGTTCATTGGCTTGAAGAAGCTCCGCATGCTGACTTTGTCCAACAACCACATCAAGCAGATAGAGCCAGGAAGCTTCGCCAGCCTAACCCGTCTACTTTGCTTGGATCTAGAGAACAACCTGTTGCAGGCTGTAGACCCTGCCTGGCTCTTTGGACTGAAAAGTATCATTATCATGAATCTGGGTTTGAATGAAATCAAAAGCATTTCCCCGAGGTCGTTCCAACACATACAGCTGACCTGGTTAGATCTGACTGGTACTGATCTATCCTGTTTGGATGGAGCTGTGTTCCTGGAACAGTCCAGGTTATCACAGCTCCATGTCAGCAGCGGTATTCTGTCATCTGTCCATGATGCAAAGCCACATGGAATGATGTGGAGCCTACAGCGGTTCTTCAATGCCATGAGAGGGTCAACAGCATTGGTTGTCGTGGTGCCCAGGTTTCTCTTCTGCGTCAGCCACAATGGGGTAGCCCCTGGATTCTCGTTGTGGTGGATGTTTGACTCATCTGACAGTTTGCCTCATCATCGCATTGTGCGCCCATACGCGTGTGATATTTCCGATCGTCCTCTAAGCATGATCTCCATCCAGACCCCTGTAGTTGTCCTGGCTACTAACCACTCTCTGACAGACAAACTGGAGACCAACACGCTTGAGCAGTGCAGGCAGGTGTGGGAGTACAATGGAGGGGTTGCATTGGGTCTAGTGAGAAGGTCAATCTTCCGACTGATTTCCTTGTCCACAGGGAACTCGAGCTTTGAAGGTGTTGGCATGTCGTTTGCCCAGACACAAGACACGAACACACTCACCACCACAGAGTCTGGGTACAGTCAAACACCCACGCCCCATACAAACGCCAAACATGACAATGCAAAGAACATCACCTGCATTCTGCTCACCAAGGATGAACACACAGCACTGTTCTTCACCACTTCCCAGAACCAACGTCAGACAACGGCAACCACTCACAGAACAAACACTGACCACTCCATCAGCCTAACACACTACACTGAACATACAGGGAAAGACTACACATCTTCAGAAATGGTAGGCACCTCTACACTGCAGGAGACAACTGAACCTGG